TGAGTTTGTGGTGTGGGTGTGTGCAGTTTGGGTGCGGGGGGGGGGGGGGGGGGGGGGGTTGTTCAGATACAAGTGCATTATACAAATGTACAATAAAAATATATGCAGTGTATTGCTGTACCACACAGTGATGTCAAAAGTGAGGACGGGTTTGTATTATGCTATGGCAGAAATTCATTGGGCTTCTTCAAGGACAAGAGAAAGATCTGAAAGGAACCTGAAGTAGAATGTCTTGCTGTAGGCTATTTTTTTACCACCCAATCTGTTTTTAATTGGTTTATAATCTAATGCTAATTCCATTTGTATATTTAGTTCACACTTACTCCAAGCAGTACTATCTCTTCAGAAAATGACTGTGGAGTGGTAAGTTACTGGGTGACATTTTACTTTGGACAGTTCCTTTTAGCTTTGGAAATGCTTATCCACTGTACTGTACCTGATATGATATGTATTTATTCTTTCCTCAGGCAAAGTGTGTAGTTTTAAAGAAACTTGATGATTATTATAAATGCGAGGTGACATTCCAGAATGATGGCAATAAAATCAAGAACGAAATTCAAGGCCAAATTCATAACTTACAGGTAATGATGTGTTTTAGATGAATGCAGTTCATATGCATATGTAACACGAGATGGGTTACAATGTTTCTTTGTATTTGCAGATGCTCAGATTCTCAGATGAAGAAAAAAAGTGCAATTTATCAAATCCCTCATGTCCCTCTGAAATTCAACAACTCTCTATGTGGGACAAAACTAAAGTGTTTGTGGATCAGGTCATTGGGGCGTGTTTACATACAATGCAACATGTGTGTCCTAAATTGTCTTAAAAAGCTAAAAGTACTGAAATATCCTGACATTTTTATATGTATTTATTTTTATTTATCATTTAATGTATGTTTTTTATATGATATGTTAGACCTTGTTTGTGCATCTGACATTTCCTCCGGTATATATTGGAAATATGCTTTTTTTATTGTGATATATTTATTTCAATAAAGATTTTTTTGAAAAAAATAATTTTACTTTTTAATATTTACAGTAGTATTTATCTGATCAGTTTCAACATGTTTAAAAATGCAAAAAAATACACAGCAAGTGAATTTCAAATCAAGAGTTTATTTTCCATTTCATGAAGCAGTTTCCATTTCCCTGTTAATGAAACAGCGATGAAATGACAGTTACGGTATCAAGTGTATGAATAACAAAATTCAAAATGTATTCTTTTTCAAGAAATAGGAAATAAATAGAATCTGAAATAGAAAGAACAGGGTTTTTACTCTTTCATAAAGCTCCTTTTTGTGGAGTGGTTTTCAATGAAAAAACAAACATTAAGACTCAGAGATGGATTAGGGAAACAATGACATGAAATAAACTGATAATGAACATGAACCTGTCCCTTTTTCCCCTGGAACTTGACACCTTATTACGGAATTCAACTTAATCGCTCCCTGTTTTTCTCTGTTCTTAACAAGTAATCATCAACCAATTCTGGAACTCTAGAAAACATTCTTTTTTGGGCTCTGATCAAGTACAGATGCTATTGCCAAAAGTTTTCAGCATCCGCCTGATGACCAGAATATAATGATCGGACACCTGATAATGATGTTTGGTCTTAATAAAAATTAATTGGCCCCTGGTCAGACGAGGGTCCGTTTTAAATGAGAAAAGGCAGGCAAAACAACTTTTCCCATCATAGAGGCACAGCAATGAAACTAAAGCAGTCACATTGAAAATATTTCAGAAAATCCCCTCTTCATTTCGAAAGTAATGATTCAATGTGAACATGAGAATTCTAAAAACCCAGCCCCACAAAAAAGGGAATGAGAGACGTGACTGCAAGCGGTGTGACTCTCTCCCACCTTCAATACCACGACTGAGGTGCCCTTGAGCAAGGCACCGAACCCCCAACTGCTCCCCGGGCGCCGCAGCATAAATGGCTGCCCACTGCTCCGGGTGTGTGTTCACGGTTTGTGTGTGTTCACTGCTGTGTGTGTGCACTTAGGATGGGTAAATGCAGAGCACTAATTCCGAGTATGGGTCACCATACTTGGCCACATGTCACGTCACTTTGAAGAGTTAATGAAGCACAGTTTAGCTGGCATACCCGAATAAAAGATCATAAGCCACACAGTTTGAAGAATGTAAATAGTATTTCATCATTTAAAATGGGATGCATTGCTGAATAGTAGGCATATAAGAGAGTGACAGTTTTCAAAAATAGTTACAGTTACAAGGAAGCGTTCCAGGTAAGATGCTGAAATGTCACATGACTGTGGAAATCTGGGGAAATTTAAATAAATGGCAAGACAAAATAGAGATGATTGACATTATGACTTGATAAAAAAAACAAACAATGGTTTGGGTACCAAACAAATAATAAAAAGAAAATGCCAGAAAACATAAAAGTATTTTATTATGCTACAAAAAAAAAAAAAAAAGGTTTTATTTTTAACATCAAACCGATAACTAATGGAACTTGGTATTATTCCCCCAAGAGGTTAAAAAATAACTTTTTAACACTCTTCTTGGTGAATTTACTTTTTGAACTTGCTTTGACTTAAAGCAACACCCCTAAACATTTATTTAAAATGTTTTAGGGCCCAACAAAATTAGCCTTCATTACAAATAAGACGTACATGAAAAAAAAGAATTAAATCAGGGATATGTGACAGTATGTGGTAAAATGAGTCTTTGACAGACAATTGCCATGCTTTTGGGGTGTTACAGCTACATTGCTTAAAAGGGAAGTGTCATTTCTGTGCCAATAGCGATACCAAATGTTTACACTGTCTTTCATATGTTAGTTAAAATGATAGTCCCACTAAATTCATTCCAATGGATGAGCCAACATTGTTATGTCTCACCTGGTCAGGCTCCTTAAACAAATATAAGGCATTTGGTGTCGCTAGTAATACAGAAATTACACGCATAAAAAAAAAACTCATTTTATAAAACAAACTAATTTAATTAAAATTTCAGGCTAAAACGAATACAGATGTATGTGTATTAAAAAAATACAAAGAATAATAATTAAAAAAAACTGAAGAATAATGCAAAACAAGTGACACATTGATAAGCTGAATTTACTTTTTGAACTTGCTTTGACTTAAAGCAACACCCCTAAACATTTATTTAAAATGTTTTAGGGCCCAACAAAATTAGCCTTCATTACAAATAAGACGTACATGAAAAAAAAGAATTAAATCAGGGATATGTGACAGTATGTGGTAAAATGAGTCTTTGACAGACAATTGCCATGCTTTTGGGGTGTTACAGCTACATTGCTTAAAAGGGAAGTGTCATTTCTGTGCCAATAGCGATACCAAATGTTTACACTGTCTTTCATATGTTAGTTAAAATGATAGTCCCACTAAATTCATTCCAATGGATGAGCCAACATTGTTATGTCTCACCTGGTCAGGCTCCTTAAACAAATATAAGGCATTTGGTGTCGCTAGTAATACAGAAATTACACGCATAAAAAAAAACTCATTTTATAAAACAAACTAATTTAATTAAAATTTCAGGCTAAAACGAATACAGATGTATGTGTATTAAAAAAATACAAAGAATAATAATAAAAAAAACTGAAGAATAATGCAAAACAAGTGACACATTGATAAGCAGAAGGTGGTCATGAGCACAAAACTTTGAAGACTGAATTCAATTTCCCTTCCTCTATCTGTCCCTAGCATTTCCTAGCATTCCTTTATCTGTGGTTGTCCTGGTCTTGCTCTAGATTTCATTCATACTTCTGGTTTTCACACGGAGCACCAAATTCGTTCTGCACTGGATCTTTGCACTGCTTCTGTTCATCAGTCACATTTCTGTCTGCCTCTCTCTCTCTGACTCAGACATACTCACACACGCACTCACACACATCCTCTTCCTTTCTAATCCCAGAAGATGTTGGTAATGTCTGAGTCCAGGCTGAAGATCCAGACCAGCAATGGGCCAGAGATGAGCACAAATGACCAGGACACACCCCTAAATGCCTGTCGCAGCTTGCCAGTCACTCCACTGGCTGCGTTTCCATCCTCCTCCAGCTGCAGATCGCTGCCAGGCTCAATGTAGTTTCTGGCCAAGAACTTCAGGGCTTCATCCATTAAAATAACAGGCAGAGACATCTTGAGAACAGTCACCCACTGGGGCCAAGACAACGGCCGGATCTGAAATATGACCTACAGAGACAAAAAATAACAGACATAGCTACTGCTTACTGGAATAGTTCACTTAAAAATGAAAGTTTTGTCATCATTTACTCACCCTCAGATCATTCCAAACCCTTTGACTGACCTTCTTCCACAGAACGCCATTGCAATTAAATTTGCCAGTAAATTTTTCTATGCTATTAGAAGCTACTAAAGCAAAATAATAGCTTTGTGTTAGTCACAAATACCTGATTTTCTCTGTTTCTCACAATAAGTTACCACATGGTTTCTGAGGATGAAGGTTTTTGGAATGACACTATAATTCAAAAGGGGTTAGCAAGAGTTTATTTTAAAAAAATAATACTTTTTTTCAGCAAGGATGTGTCACGGAATTACTAGTGGAAAACATTGAAGATCCAAGTGTAGTTTTAATAATCCAAAAACAAAGATCCAAAACACGGCAACAGACAGAAAGCAAAGACAAAAAGTAATCCACAACACAGGAGGCAGAAAACAATGCTCACGCAAACAGAACATGGTATATATAGGGGAACTAATAAAACTAATGACACTAATGACTGAAAATAATGAGAACTAACAGACAGAGCAAAGGGTGAAGGGAAATTAAGTCTGGAACAGACAAACTATAATCCAGAAGGAATGCCCTCTGGTGGCTGTTATGGGCACTCCAGCAGATGGCTGTGACAGGATGCATTAAAGAGGTCATATGATGTTGCTAAAAAGAACATTATTTTGTGTATTTGGTGTAATGAAATTTGTACCAGGATCAGGAAACAGTCCTTCATAAAATATGCTGGACACATCTGAATATTTGGGTTGAACTGTTCTGGAACAGTGTTGTAAATACAACTTAACCACTGATTTCTAGTCGTGTCCACTTTTGGAAGGCCAAACAACGTAGTTTCGCTTTCACAACGAAACACAGCGTCACACACGGCGGGCTAGAGTGAGTGGAGGCCGGAATTAGTAAGCAGCGGCGGGCGGGCTTGAGTGAGCGGAGGCCGGCGGCTACAGTGAGTGGAGGCCGGAGGGCTACAGTGAGGAACAGCCAGGGAATGGCGCGGCCGGCGGATTCGACAAAGGAGAGGGCCGGCAGGCTTGTGGCAACCACATGACCCCGGGCTGGACTCTGCTTCGTCCACGGTGAAAGCCGATCCGGCGATCAACAGCGCGAAGTTGATGTATTTCTTCAGCGACCAGCACGGATCAGCTCTAGGCATGACAAAGTAGATATCGTCCTCTTTTGGAAGGCCAAACAAAGTAGTTTCACTTTCACAACGAAACACATAGCGCCTTCATGACATGGCAGAGGCAACAATACTACAGCGAGAATAAAAATTACACCTTTTTTTGCGTGAACATTTGGATGGCGTCATGCAAATCTTCCCACATAGTGATGTAGATATGTGGGGGCGTGTTAGAACGAGCCGTTTTAAGTAGGCGTGGTTGACTCTTAACTTTTATAAAGAATATCTCTTTGGATTTGAGACTTTAGTCTTTGCAACTTCACAGATCTTCTTTATGCACCAAGAGCTTGTAACACTCCAAAGAGAAAGGAAAAATTTAAATCGCATCATATGACCCCTTTAAATTAATCTAAAGTAACCATAAAGGCTTTTATATTGTTACCGAAAGCCTATTTCAAATAAATGTTGTTCTTTACATTCGTTAAATAATCCTGAACACCAAATCAGCATATTAAAATGATTTGTGAAGGATCATGTGATGCTTAAGACTGGAGTAATGATGTTGAAAATTCAGCTTTGCTATCATAGAAATAAATTAATAATAAATTAAAATAAAAAAAGAAAACAGTTATTTTAAATTTTTATGGTATTTCATTAAATATTACTGTTTTTACTGTAATTTGGTCAAATAAATGTAGCCTTGGTGAGTATAAAACTTTTGACCGGTACTATAAATAATGACAAATATTCCATAAAGCTATGAGGGGGTTATGATTTACTGTATTACCCTCAGTCATTTCCTTCGGTTTTTTGGGAAGCCTTTCATCATCAGTGAAATTAATAGCAATCATTTCCTGATTGATTAGGCAACTACTTTCATTGTGGTTTATGACAGACAGGCATGCACAAGTCCAAACTATTAAACACGCACATTTATCACATTCCTCATTATGCCCAAGCATTTTTCTGAGATTGTGCTGCATCATCTTTCCAAATTCTTGAGCACACAGATGCATACTTACGGGAAGAGGGTCCACATATAAGATGAGGAAGTGTAGGGCCATGGAGAGACAGATGGCTCCCATCAGCCAGGGGTTTGACCAAGGAGGCATTTTGAGTAGAGATTGATTTTCTGACAAACTGAAACATACACACCCAAAGACAATAAGAACAGTTCATGCTTCCCTGCTGTCTTAAACATAGGTAGAAAGTTCTGCCGTTTCAATATGATCACTATGCAAACAAACATATTGTTTCAAAATCGAAATTACATTTATGACATTTACTTAAATGTATTTACACTACCGTTTAAAGATTTGGGGTCAATAACCTTTTTGTTTTCTTTGGAAAGAAATTTAAAAAACCTTTCAATTTCCAGTAAATGATGTTCTATTAATTAAATAATCCTAAAACAAATGATCATGGTTTCCACAAAAATAATAAGCAGCACTGTATTCAACATTGCTAATAATGAAAAATGTTTCTTGAGCAGTGAATCAGCATATTCAAATTATTTCTGAAGGATCATGTGACACTGAAGACTGGAGTAATGATGCTGAAAATTCAGCTTTGCCATCACAAGAATAAATTACATTTTAAAATATATTCAAATAGACAATATCTATTTTAAACTGTAATAGTATTTCACAATATTACTTATTTTGCTGTATTTTTGATCAAATAAATGCAGTCTGAGCATAAGAGACTTGTTTTAAAATCATGAAAAAATTGGAAAGACCCCAAAATTCTGAACGATAGAGTATGTATTAGATATACAACACACTGATGTACAATACACTGTATACAAATAATAACAAACACTATAGTGCAAGTTTTTTTTTGACAGGAAAATACCAAGTCAAAATTGTATATATGTGCCATGTGTGCTATTCTCCACATTCAGCAGTGATTTTCTATCATTACAGGGTTTTTAAAAATCACATACCTGTTGAGGGCATTGCACATCTCTATAGTGACCAGCACAGACAGCGCCATAGTCATGGGGTATGGAGACTCGAACACTGAGCACTGCACTCCTGCAAACTCAGCATGACCTTCACTGCACTGAAGATAGTGAGACTATAGAAGAAACAACAGAGAAAAATTATATATTTACTATAATAAAGCTTCTGGTTTAAGACAAAACAAGACTCAAAACTGTACTCTTTGACACTGCAGTAAATTATTTTGTTTTGGTGTACTTATTTTTTATTACCAGTTGGTAGAAAGTGAGCTTTGGTCCATCATGAGCTGCCATGAACCACCAGGCAGCAGCTCCAACTGTTGCTGCCCCTACATAACCTACAAAACAGAGAGAGAAAGAGATGGCAATGCAACTTAACAAATCAACATATTCAGATTGAGTTCATTGGTTCTTTAAATTTAATTCATGGTCTGAAAGAGAGTGTAAGAAAGTTCAGCCTGTTGACTGTTCTCTTGTGTTTACTTCGGCTGGGTTGACAATACTGGTTAATCAATTAGAATTGATCTTAATTTTAATGAACCAATACTGACTCTGAAATTCCAACATCAGTATTTTAGTCTATGCTGTTTTCTGTTGACGCATGAACAACAATTGAACTTTTACTTGTAGACTGCATCTCCCATATTGATACTCTTTAATGTGGTGTGACAGATATGCACTATATTACATATCTATTATATTATTACTTAAAGGGTAGTTCACCCAAATATTCAAGTTCT